TCTACAGGAGGTCGTGGGTTCGATCCACACAATAACGCCTGCTGTAGATTGAGAGTTTGCGTGTTTCTCTTTCGGTGGTGAGATGTTGATTACCTCGCCTGGTATACAGGAGGTTGGGGGTTCGATCCACACAATGACGCCTGCTGTATATTTGGAGTTTGCGTGTTTCTCTCTCCGTGGTGAGATGTTGACTACCTCGCCTGGTATACAGGAGGTCGTGGGTTCGATCCCGACCCTGACGCCTGCTGTACATTTGAAAGTTCGCGTGTCTCTCTCCCTCTCCGTGGTGAGATGTTAACTACCTCGCCTTGTATACAGGAGGTCGTGGGTTCGAATCTCGACCCTGATGCCTGCTGTATATTTGGAGTGTGGGTGTCTCTCTCTCAAAAACAAACTAAACAAAAAAAAATACGTTTATTTTACCATGCGGCTTTTTTTCAGAATCGACTCGGGCACAAATGATAGCTCAACGAAATGGTTTCTCGTAATCATCACCACGTGGACATGTATTAGCAACCGAATGCTCTATGTGCATGTTTCGAAATGTGGAGGGGAAAAACCGGAGGACCCGGAGGAAAAAAATCTCTTCAACCACGGCGAGGACATGCAAACTCCAAATATACAAACGTCAGGGTTGGGATCGAAACCACAACCTCCTGCATACGAGGGTTTTGTCCCTCCAAGTTTTTGAATCAATCGTCACGTTTTAAATTTTGATTTAAAGCTTTCGTGACTGCAGTAATTCATATTCTTAGCTCTTTCGGTAAAGTCACGTTGAAGGGAAACAATAAAATAATAAAATATATATAAAACAATAAAAATTCTCACGGCGTTTCGACCATAACACAAACGGTCATCATCAGGTGTGTGTTATGGTCGAAACTTCGTGAGAATTTGTATTGTTTTATATATATTTTATTATTTTATTGTTTCCCTTCAACGTGGCTTTACCGAAAGAGTTAAGAATATCAACCATCACGTGTTCAGAGCAGCTGTGGCTGCTATGCATTTCCACGTGATGATGATGATGATGGGCCACTTCGTTGGGCTATCATTTGTGATGGCCAGGTCGCTTATGAAAAAGAGGTCAGTGGGGCCTTACCTGGTAAAAAAATAAAAATTAGTAAAAAAAAACAGGCTCACGGATTATTCCATCACCCCCTACCGTGCGTTGGATTTCCACGTTTAAGGCTGCGTTGGCTGTGTCACGTTGCCCGCAATGCCCAGCCACCCCCGCATGCCAAAGCAGCTTCTGTTTGGCCGGATAGGTAAATGCGTGTGCGAGTGTGAGCGAGCGTGTCTGTCTGTGTGTGTGCGTGCGAGTGGGGAGCGGTAGTGTAGCGGTTTGCGCGCCGCGCTATGAAACTGGCGACCCGGGTTCGATTCCCGCTCACGGCCAACGCCAGTGACGATTATCTGAACCGGTCCCGGGCCTCCCCTAGGTCGACTCAGCCTCAAATGAGTACCTGGTGCGGTGGATAAAAACATTGCCACTGGGGAGACTAAGGCGGTCGGGCGTGGTGCTGGCCACCCACCCCCTCGTGTACCGTTCCGGCCTTCATAGGTGCTCGCTAACAGCACTTGCCCCTACAGTCTGTTAAGGCTATACGGGGGATCTTTGTTTTTATCTTTGTGTGCGAGTGGGGAGCGGTAGTGTAGTGGTTAGCGCGCCGGGCCACGAAACTCTGTGCGAGCCGAGATCAATTCCCGCTCACGCGATTATCTGATGCGGTCATGGGCCTCCCCTAGGTCGACTCAGCCTCGAATGAGTACCTAAACATCGCCACTGGGGAGACAAAGGCGACCGGGTGTGCTGTTGGCCACCCGCCCACTCGTCTGCCGTGCCGGCCCTCATAGTTGCTCGCTAACGAGCACTTGCCCCAGCAGTCTGTAACAGGCTGTACGGGGGATCTTTGCCTTTGAGTGCAAGTGTCGAATCAGCACTTGCCCCAAAAGTCGTTTGAGGCTACACGGGGGAGGGATATTTGTCTCTGTCAAATTGGTTTCGTCCAACTGCGTTCCTCCACCACCCCCCCCCCCCTCTCTCAGTTTCATAATCTTAGGGATTTGCAACTCACTCTGGACCCATCTCAAGGCCTGGATATAAATAAAAACCAGCATCAGCAAGCGGCAGCCCATATCCTGCCCCACCCCCCCCCACCACCAGTCCCACAATCCCGTGTGCTTACAATCGACGGTGTTAATCACACGCGTGTAGCGATCGCTTGGAGGGCGTGCGTGTGCACGCGTGTGTGCGCGTGTGCGTGTGTGCGTGCGGTCGTGCACACGCGTGTGTACGTGTGCACGTGTCCCCACGCGTGTGTGGCGAGCGGTTAACCCCGAGCCTGATTTCCCCTCTCATCGGTTGGTTGTCCAAATTCTGCTAAACCCTGTCTGTCTGGTATGCTTCTCTCTCTGTGTCCCCTGTTGTGTCTGTGTTAGTTCCCCCCCTACTTGGGTGTCTGTGTATGTACAACTGAGGTTATGTGTTTCCTCTCTCTCTCTCTCTCGTAAATTTAGCTCTTCTGTAGCTGATGATGGCTGCTTGTGTTGCAACCGAAACGTCGTACGCTATTACGTTATTTTATTATTTCTTATTTATACATGACTTTACCGAACAAAAAACAAAGAGTCATTCCTGCAGTCACGAAAGCTTCGAACCAAGTTTAAACTAAAGGTATTTTGTTATTTTATTAAACGAAACAATTTTTTTTATTCCTAAGTTTTTATTTATTTTTACCATGTAAGGCCCACTGAGCCATGTATCTCTTTTCAGAAGCGAACTTTCCACAAATTATAGGTCAGCGATTGTGGCTTATCGTCGTCACGTGGAAAATTACTCTAAACGCGTGGTGACGTTGATTCTGAATGTGGAGGGAAAAACCGGAGGACCCGGAGAAAAATCCACGCGGCCACGGGGAGAGAGAGAGACACGCAAACTCCAAATATACAGCAGCAGCAGGCGTCGTCAGGGTCGGGATCGAACCCACGACCTCCTGTGTACCAGGCGAGGGAGTTAACATCTCCTAGCCACCGTGATGATGGTGAGAGAGAGAGAGAGACACGCAAACTCCAAATATACAGCAGCAGCAGGCGTCGTCAGGGTCGGGATTGAACCCACGACCTCCTGTGTACCAGGAGAGGTAGTTAACATCTCACCACGGGGAGAGACACACACAAACTCCAAATATACAGCAGCAGGCATCGTCAGGTTCGGGATCGAACCCACGACCTCCTGTGTACCAGGCGAGGGAGTTAACATCTCCTAGCCACCGTGATGATGGTGAGAGAGAGAGAGAGAGACACGCAAACTCCAAATAGACAGCAGCAGCAGGCGTCGTCAGGGTCGGGATTGAACCCACGACCTCCTGTGTACCAGGAGAGGTAGTTAACAACTCACCACGGGGAGAGAGACACACAAACTCCAAATATACAGCAGCAGGCATCGTCAGGTTCGGGATCGAACCCACGACCTCCTGCACACCAGGTGACGTAGTTAACATCTCACCACGGAGAGAGAGACACACACAAACTCCAAATATACAGCAGCAGGCATCGTCAGGTTCGGGATCGAACCCACGACCTCTTGTGCACCAGGCGAGGGAGTTAACATCTCACCACGGAGAGAGAGAGACACGCAAACTCCAAATATACAGCAGCAGGCATCGTCAGGTTCGGGATCGAACCCACGACCTCCTGTGTACCAGGCGAGGTAGTTAACATCTCCTAGCCACCGTGGCATCCTGAACCCGACCCTGGGCCCTCTTTGAATACCTGATGCACTACGTAAACAGCACGATGACCTTACCCCCCGCACCTCCGATTAGCGCGGTTGGCGACGTACGATAATCCGAAAGAAGTTCAGGATGCAGCGCGTAACGTTACGGCTTTGGGGAGACAAAGACGGCCGGGGAATTGGTTTGCTCGTTACCGCCCACGCGTCTCGGCACGCTCGTCGTCACCCACGCCCGTCATCACCCACGTCATCACCCACGTCATCACCCACGCCCGTCATCACCCACGCCCGTCATCACCCACGTCATCACCCACGTCATCACCCACGCCCGTCATCACCCACGTCATCACCACGTCATCACCCACGCCCGTCATCACCCACGTCATCACCCACGTCATCACCCACGTCATCACCCACGCCCGTCATCAGCCACGTCATCACCCACGTCATCACCCACGCCCGTCTTCACCACGTCATCACCACGTCATCACCACGTCATCACCACGTCATCACCCACCTCATCACCACGCCCGTCATCACCCACGTCATCACCCACGCCCGTCATCACCCACGTCATCACCCACGCCCGTCATCACACACGTCATCACCACGTCATCATCCACGTCATCATCCACGCTCGTCATCACCCACGCTCGTCATCACCCACGCTCGTCATCACTCACGTCATCACCCATGTCATCACCCACGCCCGTCATCACCCGCGCTCGTCATCACCACGTCATCACCCACGCCCGTCATCACCCACGTCATCACCCACGCCCGTCATCACCCACGTCGTCACCCGCGCTCGTGCGCGTGGACGTTGCCGGCACGGCTCAGGGCGTTCGTGCAGTGGAAAACGACGCCCGTGGCACGGCCGCGAAATGCTTAGCGCGGCAAGCGGCCGCGGGTCGCTTTCGCAGACGAAGAAAAGACGCGAAGTAAAAGTAAAAAAAAAAAAGAAATATTGTAATAAAAAAATAAACAAAAATATATTGTAATAAAAAAAGACGTAATGAAAATATATACATCATAATAAAAAAAATGCGTAATCAAAATAGTGTCATCATGATAATAAAAAAATTATTATACGTAACAAAGACAAAATTCGCCACGGTTTATTACGCGCTGCCTGCAGGTCAACCGTGGGTCAACCAGCGGGCCACCCTCGAGGACGAGCGCGGTTTTTGCGAAGTGAGACCTTGAAACCGCCCGCCCCCCTCCCCCGTACCCCCCAACCCGCGCTTGCTTTGCCCCTGCACAGGGACCGGGCGACGAACCGACGTACCAGTCCATCGCCGAGGCGCTGGAGGAGGCGTGCGGCGGCGTCGGCGGCATCGGCGGCGTCGGCGAAGACTCGCGGCACACTGTCATCCCGCGGCACAGCACTTTCCGTCCTCGCGACCCCAGCCCCGACCTCCTGGGCCGGCTACCCAGCCGGGTCCAGCAGCAGCCGCCTCCTCCTCCTCCTCCTCCTCCGCCTCCTCCTCCTCCTCTGCCGCCAATGGCGCTGTCGTCATCGTCGTCCTCGTCGCTGCTCCTGTCGCCGGCGCTTCCGTCAGCGGCGGCATCGGCGTCGTCGGCGTCGGCGTCGGCGTCGGCGGTGGCGGCGTTCCAGGCGCTGAGCGAGTCCAAGCGATCGTCGTCGTCGAGCGGCTCGGAGCACTACAGCGCGTCGGAGAGCAGCTGTTCACAGCAGGGCACGAGGGGCACCCACGGACCCGCGGCGCTCCCCACCACCTCCTCGTCCTCGTCCTCGTCGCACCGCTGCAAGCAGGTGGGTGAGCGTCGGCGGTGAGCGTCGGCGGTGAGCGTCTGCGGCGAGCGTCGGCGGCGAGCGTCGGCGGCGAGCGTCAGCGGCGAGCGCGCGCCGGGTTACACCGGAGTGGACCAAGGCGCGCTGGATATGCATCTGTGTAAGGATGAGATGGTGGACACTCGAGAAGACACGCGGGGTCACGGGCGCGAGCGGATACAGGAGAACATACGAACGGCACTCACTCACTCTGTAGAACAGGGGGAGATCACACAAACTCCACTCACACACTCTGTAGAACAGGGGGAGATCACACAAACTCCACTCACTCACTCTTTAGAACAGGGGGAGATCACACAAACTCCACTCTCTCACTCGGTAGAACAGGGGGAGATCACACAAACTCCACTCACTCTGTAGAACAGGGGGAGATCACACAAACTCCGCTCACTCACTCTGTAGAACAGGGGGAGAGAGATCACACAAACTCCACTCACTCACTCTGTAGAACAGGGGGAGATCACACAAACTCCGCTCACTCACTCTGTAGAACAGGGGGAGATCACACAAACTCCACTCACTCACTCTATAGAACAGGGGGAGATCACACAAACTCCACTCACTCACTCTGTAGAACAGGGGGAGATCACACAAACTCCACTCACTCTGTAGAACAGGGGGAGATCACACAAACTCCACTCACTCACTCTATAGAACAGGGGGAGATCACACAAACTCCACTCACTCACTCTGTAGAACAGGGGGAGATCACACAAACTCCGCTCACTCACTCTGTAGAACAGGGGGAGATCACACAAAGTCCACTCACTCTCTGTCATACATGGGGATATCACGCAAACTCCACTCACTCACTCTGTAGAACAGGGGGAGATCATACAAACTCCACTCACTCACTGTGTAGAACAGGAGTAGAACACACAAACTCCACTCACTCACTCTGTAGAACAGGGGGATATCACGCAAACTCCACTCACTCACTCTGTAGAACAGGGGGAGATCATACAAACTCCACTCACTCACTCTGCAGAACAGCGGGAGAGGGATCACACAAACTCCTCTCACTCTCTGTCATACAGGGGGAGATCACACTAACTCCACTCACTCACTCTGTAGAACAGGGGGAGATCACACAAACTCCACTCACTCACTCTGTAGAAGAGGGGGAGATCACACAAACTCCACACACTCACTCTGTAGAAGAGGGGGAGATCACACAAACTCCACTCACTCACTCTGTAGAACAGGGGGAGATCACACAAACTCCACACACTCACTCTGTAGAAGAGGGGGAGATCACACAAGGTCCACTCGCACACTCACAGAAAGGTGCCCGAGCCGAGACTCGAACCACCCAGCAGGCTTCTCGCTACAGGGCCGTCCCCTCGGGGAGGGGGGGGGGGGGGGGGAGGGTTTTTGTACTTTACAGCATTTAATACGGACGCGCAGGATGGCGCTAAAAGGCAAGAAGCTAAAACAAAAATATTTACAACAGTTAATTAGGGAATGGCCAAACGTTGAATTGAGAAATATGCCCGTAAAGAGACGAACATTTTACGACCACACGTTCGTGTTGAAACACTAAAAACGATACACGGTGCCAATGATGCGCTTTGGCCTGCTTTGGAGGCACGTGGCCTCTTTCGAATTCTAACTTGCCGAGGATGGCACTGACTGGTCTTGACTAAAATAAATAAATGTTTCCTATGCAAAGGTCGCCGAGAGTTCAAACCCTCGGCACCATCGTGACGAGTAAAAACCACTGCGCAATTTTTTTTATTAATAATAATAATAAGAAAAATAAATCGAAGAGAAAGTGCGTCCTCGTGTAAATGTAGCTTATTATTAATACAAAAAAAAATCTCAATTTTTCCACCGTGGGTTCTCTTGAATGCCAGCGGCTGAGAGTTTTTGAATCTCGCAGCGAGCTCTGACTCGACCCGACTCGCTTATTTCGTGTTTTTTGCTTGTTGCGGTTGCACCTGATTCAAGAGCCGAATGGCTCGCAGGGCCATACCAAAGTAAATAAATAAACCGAAACCGACTCGATGAACGTATCCGATGGAAAGCGTCGCGAGAGCCCAAACCCTTCGCGCGCCATCGTCGCGAGCGGAAACCACGGCGCAACATTTTTTTTAAAAAAGAGGAAATTATGGAAACAACAACAACAACAAAAAACAATTTCGAACAAGGAAACAAAATAACATTTTAATTTCGATTTTAAAGCTTTCGTGACTGCAGGGATTCATCTTCTTTGGTTCTTTCGGTAAAGTCACCACACAGAATGGAGATAAAATAATAAAAATAATGATAATAACAGAATAAAATTCTCACGACGTTTTGGGCCACAACACAACACAAGTTGTGGCCGAAACGTCGTGAGAATTTTATTCTGTTATTATTATTTTTATTATTATTCTATCTCCATTCTACGTGACTTTGTGGCCGAAACGTCGTGAGAATTTTATTCTGTTATTATTTTTCTATCTCCATTCTACGTGGTGACTTTACCGAATGAACCCAAACGCGACCTCTCTCGAAAGGGATCTCTCGGATCCCCGCGGCTGGCCCTGCCGGTCCCTTACCGAACCCCCGTTCCGTGGCAAAGGGGCCGTCCATAAATGACGTCACGCGCCTGGGGGGGAGGTTTGAGAAATGTGACGTCACGTCAAAATGCGCAATTTTAAATAAATATAGACAAACACGTTCTATTTCGATTTAAAGCTTTCGTGACTGCAAGGATTCATCTTCTTTGGTTCTTTCGGTAAAGTCACCACGTAGAATGAGAATAAAATAATAAAAGAACACAATAAAATTCTCACGACGTTTCGTCCCGACAGTTCTGTACCTTTCACCTGAAGACGGCCGCTTGCGTTGTGGCCGAAACGTCGTGAGAATTTTATTGTGTTATTTTATTATTTTATTCTCATTCTACGTGACCTTACCGAAAGAACCAAATAAAGTGAAACACGTTCTACTTAATTAAATAGACTTTTTAATAAATGTTTTTTTTATCCTGCAACATCGGAGTGCGGCGCCACATTAAATACGCACTACTACAATGTGACAATAGTTTAAAGCGATTTGAAGCACGTTTTATATATATATTTTTTGGGGGGGGAGGTGGGGGGCAGAGCTTTGTGACGTCATATTTGAGGAGGAGGGGGGGGGTGTCTGACTTTTTGTGACGTCATTTATGGACGGCCCTCAAAGCCACACGGTCCGGTTCTCCCGCTCGGATTTGGGTTTGCGTTGGCGTGGTTGCTGTTGGCGAGGTGGCGACCTCGCTCGATGTCACCGCAGCACGCGACCGCCCACGCCGTTGAATTCTTTTCCGTCCATGTATATAATTAGTTTTTTTTAAATGTTCAGTTGTGAGCAGTGGTGGTGGTGTGGTGGTGGTGGTGTGGTGGTGGTGTGGTGGTGGTGGTGTGGTGGTGTGGGTGGGTGGGTGGGTAAATTGTTGTCCTTCCACGGTGGGTCACGTACTGTGCTAAATAAGTTCAACATACAACATACATACATGATGGAGTTGTGGGTGGGGGGTGGTGGGTGGTGGGAGTATCTGGTGCAGCAATACCCCAAAGACAAAGATCCCATTACCCCACCGTGTAGCCTGTAACAGACTGTTGGGGCAAGTGCTGTTAGCGAGCAGCAGCACCTGTGAAGGCCGGCAGGGCACACGAGGGGGTGAGTGGCCAGCAACCAACGCCCGGCCGCCTTTGTCTCCCCAGTGGCGATGGTTACTGCCAGTAACACAACCACCACCACCCGCTGACATCGCAGCCACAACTGCTACTGCCACCACTACCACAACTACTATTGCCCCGAGCACAACCACCACCACCACCACCACGACCACCGGTAGTACCATTACCGTCAGCAGTACCACATACACTGCCAGCGCAATTACCACTGCTACCGCTACCACCACCACCACTATCAATACGACCACTACCACCACTATCAATACGACCACTACCACCAGAACAACCACTACTACCACCACCACGACAACAACCACCACTATTGCCAAGACTACCACCACCATGACAAAAACCACTACTACCATCACCACAACTATCACCATCACCACCACTATCAGTACGACCACCACCACAAACCACCGCTACCACCACCACCACCACCACGGAAATTTGCATGACGTTTGACGCGAATGTTTAAGGAAATATAGCAATAACAATAATCCCATTTCACTTAAAAATGTTTTTAGTGACGCTAAATTCTTAAGTGATGCTGCTCGCTGCTGTCACTGCTGCCGCCGCTGCTGCGTTGACAGCGGCCGTGCACAGAACAATACAAACCAAAACACCAACGTGAACATTTCCCCCCCCACACAGATACAATCTAAGCACTTTCCTCAATAATAAGACAGCGTGTGTGTGTGAGTTGGGGGGGGGGGAGCGGTAGTGTGTGTGTGTGTGAGTTGGGGGGGCGGTGGTGTGTGTGTGTGAGTTGGGGGGAGCGGTAGTGTGTGTGTGTGAGTTGGGGGGGCGGTGGTGTGTGTGTGTGTGTGAGTTGGGGGGGAGCGGTGGTGTGGGTGTATGTTGGGGGGAGCGGTAGTGTGTGTGTGAGTTGGGGGGAGCGGTAGTGTGTGTGTGTGAGTTGGGGGGGGCGGTAGTGTGTGTGTGTGTTGGGGGGAGAGGTAGTGTGTGTGTGTGTGAGTTGGGGGGGAGCGGTGGTGTGTGTGTGTGTGAGTTGGGGGGGAGCGGTAGTGTGTGTGTGTGTGAGTTGGGGGGGGGCGGTGGTGTGTGTGTGAGTTGGGGGGAGCGGTAGTGTGTGTGTGTGAGTTGGGGGGGCGGTAGTGTGTGTGTGTGTGAGTTGGGGGGAGCGGTAGTGTGTGTGTGTGAGTTGGGGGGGAGCGGTAGTGTGTGTGTGTCGACTCAGCCTCAAACGAGTACCTGGTGCGGTGTGTTAAAAAAAAACATTCACCAATGGGGAGATGAAAGCGGTCGGGCGTGGCGCTGGCTACCCACCCCCTCGCGTGCTGTTCGCAGATGCTGCTCCGCTAACAGCACTTGCCCCAACAGTCTGTTGAAGGCTATACGGGGGGGGGGATCTTTAGCCTTTGTTGTCTCTGTTGTCTTTGGCTATAACACGGACTATATATAAACATGTAGAGCGAATGACGTTTCTGCTCACTGGTCCTTACGTATCGCTCTGAGCCATCTGAGCCATTGCCCCATACACAACCGGTCATGTCCAACCATTTATTCTTCCCCCATTGCAAGATGTTGCAGCGATATTTGACAAATGTGTGGGG